GTAAAAACATCGTGTCCCTCGTCTCTTGTTACCATCCGCCTAGACGCACAGTTCGGGACCCCCTACTCGAGATCCGCCGGTTTTGACACCGACACACACCGAAGAACAATTGCTTTAGTTTCAGCAAATATATTAAGGGGTCAACTCCGTCATGCAATCTTCTCGGTATAGTTTCTTCTCGAAACATCTCCCTCTCTTCTATACAACACAAATTCTTCTTGGTGAAGTTCTTCAAACTTCTTGATAGAATGTAGCATTATTCTCGATATATCATGGACTATTTGTCTCTGTCCGCAATAGCAAACAAACTAGTCCTTACTATTTCTGACAGCAATCTCCAAAACCCAAGGGGGCAAGGCATTGCACCAACAGGGATCGGATATGGTCTTCACAAACACCGCCTTTGAGGGTAGATACCATCAGCAAGGCAGTATCCCATGGTGTAATTGTGCCCATTGACGGTGCAGTTGCACACCAAGTCTCCCCATCACAAAGTCTCTTGACAAAGGATATTGTTGTAGCAAATTGATGTCTGCTACTTGTGAGCTACATTGGTTCCCCCCCCCCAAAGAGGAAGGGTGAAGTAGTATATTAGAGATAAGTATTTCCCTCAGTGAGAACCAAGGTTATTATCGAACCAATAGGAGAATCACACAATCCTCATGAACAACACCTGCACACACAAAAGCAAATACTTGCACCCAACGGGGGCAAGAGGGTTGTCAATCCCCTTGAACTTTTTACTTGCAAGGATCAAATCTTGTATAGGTAGATGGAGAAATTGCAAAACAAAATAAAAGTAAATAAATTGCAGCAAGTTATTTTTGGTTTTTATAATATGATTAAAGTAGACCCGGGGCCATAATTTTCACTAGAGGCTTGTCTCTCGAACACATAGCATACGGTGGGTAGACACATTACTATTGGGCAATTGATAGAAAAGCGCATAGTTATGACGTATTCATGGCAATGATCACAGATATAGGCATCACATCCATGACAAGTAGACCGACTCCTTCCTGCATCTACTACTATTACTCCACCAATCGACCGCTATTCAACATGCATGCATGGTATTAAGTTCACGACAAATAGAGTAACTCTTTAAGCAAGATGACATGATGTATACAAAGTAAACCCAATAATATGAATAAACCCCATTGTTTTATCCTTAGTAGCAACAATACAATACGTTCCTCGCTACCCCTACTATGTCATTTGATGAGGACATCACAAGATTGAACCCACTACAAAGCACCTCTCCTATTGAAGAAAAATCAATCTAGTTGGCCAAACCAAACGGACAACTCGGAGAGAAATACAAAGCTATCACAATCATGCACAATAAGTTTAGAAAAGGCTCAATTACTTTCACTCAATATATTGATCATAAACCCACAATTCATCGGATCCCAACAAACACACCGCAAAAGAAGATTACATCGAATAAAACTCCAAGAAGACCGAGGAGAACATTGTATTGAAGATCAAAGAGAGAGAAGAAGCCGTCTAGCTACTAGCTATGGACCCATAGGCCTATGGTGAACTACTCACGCATCATCGAAAGGCAGCGAGGATGATGTAGAAACCTCTGTGATCGATTCCCCCTCCACAGAGTACCGAAAAAGGCCTCCAGATTGGATTGCAGAAGAGCAGAAGGTTGCGGCGGCGAAAAAAGTGTTTCGGATGGCTCCCCAGGATTTTCTTAATATTTCAGAATTTATAGAAGTGGAATTAGGCCACACGGAGCCACATGGGGCCCACAAGGTAATAGGGTGTGCCCTGTTGCCTTGCCGTCTCCCCGCTTGTCGTCTGGTCTCCCCCGAAGCTTCTAAGGTCTCTTTTGTCCAGGAAAAAAATGTCAAAACATTTCATACTGTTTGGTACTGATTTACTGGGAAACCAAAAACCAGTAGCAAACCGCAACTGGCACTTGGTTAATAGGTTAGTTCCTAAAAATGATATAAAATACTATAAAAATGCATATATAAAGTATCCAAGATTGATAATGTAATATCATGAAACAATAAAAAATTATAGATACGTTGGAGACGTATCAATGTCATTGCTAGAACCAGGCATGCCGAAGAAAGCATGCCAAATCCACAAGTTCTACGATGCCACTTCAAATATGATGGCGGCCTCTTTGGTGTGACGTTGGGACTGCCCGCACAAACCTTGGGGCAGTTATTACATTGACAATACATGTAATCAACTGAATTGAGCATACCTGGAAAACATCTTGCCGCTCTAATTGCCATCAACCTTTTTGTGTCCTCAACAATTGGTTCTCTCAGATACTCTGCTCGAAACACCTTCACCAAGTTGCTTGCAAATTGCACCATGGTATTCAGGAATGTGGTCTCTCTCTTCCGGATTTCAGCATCAATGGCATCTTCGACCTTATCATAAGCAAGCATCCTAAGGGCAGCCGTGCATTTCTGTAGAGGAGAGAAGGAAAGTTGCCTGCAACAATCCTTCCTCAGCTCGAAGTAGTCACCAGGCTCTTGCATGGCACCCACTACACAAAAGAACAAATCCTTGCTCATTTGGAAGCGACGTCAAAAAAAGATACACTTCATGGTATGTTGGCTCCAATTTGGAGTAGCCATTGTAGAGAAGCTTTACACCGGTGATCCTATCCCGGGGAACAACTCTCGTACCCTTGGAGTTCAACACATGCTCCTCTTGCTTATCCAATTCTTCCTGGATGTTCATCATCGTCATCTTTTCAGCATCTTTTTCGTCCGAATCCGACGAATTGATGAACTCTCTCTATATGAATTAAAAGAATGAACGATTGCGCGATATATGTAATGTCTATGGTGTTTGCCACTTGGATGTATTTGGATTGGGAGGCTTGGAGGCATACCTTTGCTTTTCTTGTTGGAATTGGTCACTAGTTTTTTTCTACCACAATGTCATGAGTGTGGAACCCGACAATTCGGGATGATGTTGTGATGTGAGTAACTTTCATGTCACTTTTTAGTGGCTAACTGTTTGTAAACTCTATTTTTTTTCTTTGTAACCGACTTGTCTTAAAGGCCAGTTATCTAAGAATTTGGCCAACGAAAACTGTTCATTTTAAAGAAATTTATTAGTCTTACCAATGCTAGCACGTTCAAAACTATGCTAGTAGTGTTGCTTTTGGATTGTTGCTCGTTTTTGGTTCGTCATTTTGTTATCTTATTAAAGAAGTGACCAGTTGTTTAAAAAAAAGTTATTTGGATGTTGTAACAGTCCGAGTTACTTTTACATCATATCACCGGTTAAATTATGCGGGTGTTGCTTATATGCAATGAAATTCAGCATGTCGTTATTGTTTTGAATTGGGATTTTTTATGCATGATCCTGGCACCTGAATCCCCGTATTGTGAGTCCATAACTGACACTGATTGTGCAACAACTGCTAGCAAGCTTAATAGTTGCAGCAAGCATTACATACATATCCTCAATTTGGATGCGCTCTTTCGCCGCATTTTCCAAATCAAAGGAAACTAAGTAAACTTCATCCTCAGGGGTCAGTCGACGATGTTCCTCTTCTTGTTCTAGTTCCTCCTTTTCTTTTGAAAATGAGGGTAAACCCTGGGCTCTGCATCGTTTGATGCAGATGACAAAGATGCACTTGGGGTTGACCAAGAAGGCCGTTGGTAGGTTAGGGAGGGTGGCTGTCTGCCTCACTCTCTTTACCCCTCTAGTTTTTTCCTTTCACTGTCCTACTCTGCTTTGTGTCCCTCTGCTCTTTCCCTCTCTTGCTCTGCTTTGTGTCCCTCTGCTCTCATGATCAAGCATGCATAATTCATGGAGTCCAGCTATGTTGTCTAGCAATTCTTGGCTACGTAAGCATGTGTGCTTCTGATCTCTGAAAACTCCTATAAAAATCTTTATTTGTGTCTAGCTGGTGACAGATTTAGAGCTGCCAGGATAACGAGCAATGGTACACGCACGTAACATTTTTATTTTTACAGGGTATTACGGAGTGGCTTACCTGGCTGATTT